ATTTGGAAGCAGGTGTGTACATAGATGTTAATTTAACCTGGAGGCTGGGCACGGTGGCTCATGCCTGTAATCCCAGCACTTTGGGAGACTGAGGCAGGCAGATCACGAGGTCAAGAGATCGAGACCATGGTGAAACCCTGTCTTTACTAAAAAATATACAAAAATTAGCTGGGCATGATGGCACATGCCTGTGGTCCCAGCTACTTGGGAGTCTGAGGCAGGAGAATTGCTTGAACCCGGGAGGTGGAGGTTGCAGCCTGGCATCTGGCAACAGAGCAAGACTCTGTCTCAAAAAAAAAAAAAAAAATTTAACCTGGACATGAGTAGCCAAATCCCTTTTTTCTGGCTTTTGATGCCAAGAGTGAAGGCCTCAGGGTCAAGTGTTTAAGATCAGGCATTTGCTGTTTCTTTTTTCCACATTAGGTCATTGTTTTTCCTGGGTAGGACACTGGTGAGTAGCACGTGGGTTTTATTTCCTCGATGCTGCTCCATATTCACCTATTTCTGACATTGGCAATAATTTCAGTGCCAATCACCAGCTTTCTATATTTGTCGGCAGCTGCTTCAGTGATGTGGAAACAATTTTCTCAACAGCTGAAAAACATGAAGATAGAGAGTAGGACATTTTGTTCTTTATGAACGAGCTTAGTTGGAATGAGCGTGAAAGGAGGGAGCAATCCAGCACCAATCTTTTGTCTCCGCATCTTTTCCACTCTCTCCAGCACAATGTCAGGCTCGAGTGAAGCCCATGGCTTTGTCCAGACAGGAGTGGGTAGTCTCTGTGAAATACACCAGGATACTTCAGGTCAGGATTCTGACATGGGCTGGTATTCCCTTATCTAGGAGGTGCTCTTTGTTGAATTGCTCGATTTGTATCATAAGGTTTGGCAGAAAGGAGGCTTAACCCTAGCCTTTACTTCCAGCCCAACCTTACCAGCTGGTTGGCTTTAAGCATTCAGTGAATATTTTTCTGTAAAACATGTACAGTGGCTGTTTCCCATGAGGCACCTGCAGGGCACGGAGGATCTGAGCGGCATAGACACCACCCATGAAGTCAGAGGGCTTCCAGTCTGCAAGGCACTCTGACGAACGATTGTGGAGACTAAATGGTACCATGTTTACAAAGCCTTCACATGGTACCTGATTCTAGAAAGCCCCCAGTGCATAATGATCATAGTGGTGAGGCAGAAAAATAGGATCTAGAGACTGGGAGCCTAAGGGAAACTGCAGCTGACTTCTTAAAATTAAACCCAAGGAAAACTTCTGTCTCTAATTAGTCATGGGCCAATCCTTCACTTCAGCCTCTGATTGGTTGCAGGTCGAGGTTCCACTTCAGCCTCTGATTGGCCATGAGCCAGTCCTTCATTTGTTTCTGGTATATCTCCACTTCAGCCTCTGATTGGCTGCAGGCCAAGCCCTCAAGACTTTCTATCCCCTAACAGTGATCCTTATTATGTTCAAGTTGTGTCTTGGCTTCTTTCATAGCTGTGGGATGTCTGAGCACTGAGGTGCTTGTAAAAAGCCCAAGATCTAACTCTCCCCCTAACCAAGGAAAAATGGAGCCTATTGAGTGGCTCACGTGTAGCAAGTGTTGTATTATGCAAAACATTTTACAGTGCACGACTTCTTTTCTCACATATAGCAGCCTAGGCAATGGCTGCTGTCAGCATTTTACAGATGAATAAATGAGGGTTCAGAGAGAGTAACTTGGCCGTCTTCCTGGCACCAAAGCCCCTGCTGCTCCTACCTTCCCCACACCATTCACCTCCCTAGACCTCACTATTGGTGCAGCAGGGAGACTGCCAACAACTCTGTCAACCTCCCTGAGGCCATCCATTGTCATTTGTAGAACTGAAAAGCCATCTCTCAAAGTTGGTTTTCTTCCTAAAAAATTATATTAAACAGCATCTTCCTTATTATTTAAATCTTTGCTGCCACCTAGTGGGAATTATGTAATTAGAAGAATAAAGAAAATTTTCAATTCGCCTTTGATTTTTAAAAAACTGTCCATTTCATCTGGGCATGGTGGCTCACGCCTAATCTCAGCACTTTGGGATCCTGAGGTGGGCGGATCATGAGGTCAGGAGTTTGAGACCAGCCTGACCAACATGGTGAAATCCTATCTCTACTAAAAATGCAAAAGTTAGGTGGTGTGGTGGCACGTGCCTGTAATCCCAGTTATTCAGGAGGCCGAGGCAGGAGAATTGCTTGAACCCAGGAGGCGGAGGTTGCAGTGAGCTGAGATCATGCCACTGCACTCCAGCCTGGGCAACAGAGCAAGACTCTGTCTCAACACACACACACACACACACACACACACACACACCCCCTAAAGAATAAAACAAAACAAAACCTGCTTATTTCATCCTGGAAAAGGCAAAACTATGTAAACAGTGAAAAGATTAGTGGTTTCCAGGGATTAGGAGGAGGGAGAGGTGAATGGGAGTGGTTTTTGAGGCAGTGACACTCCTCTGTATGATGCTTAATTGCAGGATCTTTGTCCAAACTCAATGTCCGACATCAAATTGAACCCTAATGTAAACTGTGGACTCTGGGTTATCATGATATGTCAGTGCTGGTTCATCAGCGGTAACAACTGTTCCCAGAGGTTGCTACTGGGGGAGGCTGCGCACAGGTTGGGACTGGGATTGTATCGGAAATCTCTTTACCTTCTGCTCAATTTTGCTGTGAACCTACACCTGCTCTAAAAACAGTCTTTAAAAAAAAAAAAAAACTGTCAATTTTCTTACATCCATACGGAGCTCCTAACCTTTAAAATTTATACTTTTAAATACATATCATGGCCTGCCATTTTTATGTTTATAGTAAACTACCAGACCTTTTATAAAAATTTTGGCTAGATGTTGGAATTCATATAAGCCCCAGCTTTTAAAAAATGCTTAACCTTTTGTGACCATCTAATATACACTCATATGTGTATGACCATTTAATACACACTCATATATGTGTTAGATAATAGGCTATACATTAAGAAATTCTAATTTGCAATATTCAGAATTTACATTTTTAAGTTTTATAAATATTCAAATAATTTACATTATCCTGGTTTAAAAATTCAAACAACACAGAGGATGTGAAGTTAAAAAGTAAAGTCCTCCTCCAGAGAGGGAAGTTTCTTAGGAATTTTTAATGTTTTCCCCCAGAAATGTTCTATTCTGGGACTAGGACACACGCACCCTTTTCTTTACTACTTTTTTATGAATGAGCTTATGCTTTGCTCACTGTTCTGTGGCCTGCTTTTTTTACTTGATCTATTTTGAACATCTTTTCATGCCACAGCACAAATCTACCTCACTCTTTTGAACAGCACATAGTATTCCATTATCAATTATACTATAATTTATTTAACTGACCCTTCACTGATGTCCATATAGCCTGTTTCCAGTTTTTGTTATTAGAGAAACGCTATAGGGACCATATGCATGCACACACATGCTTTTGCAAATATATTTGTAGAATAAAATCTTAGACATAAAATAATTACTGGATCTCAAGGTTATGTGAACACCCACTGACCAAGAAAACCAGAAATACCCCTGTCATTAAAAAAAAAAAAAGGGAGAGAGAAGGTCAAGTTTATTTAACTAGCTGCAGCAAGAGGGAAGCCAGAGGAACCGTGAGCCCACTCTGGGCGCAGTTTGGAAGAGTCTTCATGGCATTTGGGTTTGTGCCAGGTAGTTTTAGCGAGGATTCAAAGGAGCAGAAGCAGTTCTACATGAAGTGTTGTCAAGAAGCAGGAGCAGGTCAGTGATTAGGTCTCTTAAGTTTTTCTGGAGGTGAAAGCATTGAAGTTGGGCTACACGCGTCATCAGGAAAGCAGCATCAGTCACGGATGTGGTCAGAAGAGGGGCTTGTTACATCACTTTGTGTACCAAGTGGCCTCATCTCTGTCTTGGTCCAAACCTGGCCACAAAGTGGCCTTGCCAGGACACGGCTTTATTCTGTGTGTGTTCTGTGTGATCAGCTGGGAACCTCATAGCCAACCTGACAGCCGTGCTTGCTTGCTTTCTCTCAGGTACATTGATTTACAATGTCTGTAGATGTTGAAGTTGCTTTCCAGAAAGGTTAGACCAATTTACAGTCTTCTGGGTTCTTTTAAATACTCAACTTCCCTAACAGAATGAAGCAGTCAATAATCAGGTTAATTATGGCCATTTTAATAATAGCAAATGTTTCTAGTCACTTCCAATGTGCCATCTACCACTAAATCTATTAAATGCACTGAATCCTCATCAGAGGCCTGAGACCAGGTGCTGATAACATCTCCACTTCCCTAAAAAGAAACCCAAGCTTTGAAAGAGTATAACTTGCCTTGACCACATAACTAGCCAGCAAGGAGTTAGCTGGGGTTCAGGACTGGGATGCCTCATTCCTGGCCCACACTCTTTACCATGAAGAAATAATTTCTCCCAGGAGCCTGCCAAGGAAAACTGAAAGCTAAGTAATTAAGAGCCATTTAATTGATGATCACAAATCTTTGAAAGGCTGGTTTGGGTTGATAAGGAAGTAGAGAGTCCCATTTACAAAAGTGAGATTTACGGGCAGCCTTCCAGGAGTAATCATGTATATAGTGTTAGGCGAGGCATCGGCATAAAGTGCTGAGTTGTTCACGGTGCCCTCAATTAATAAATGCCTATGAGCACTTTCTTAAAATCACAACCAAGACACTATAATTAAATATTCTCTGGGCCATCAATGGCTCAGATGGTACATTAAAAAAAAACCCCAAGAAAGCAAATGGGTGAAGGACACCTGTCCCCTTAGATCCGTGGAGGTTCACAAAGCCTCCGTGCCACGTGAGGATGCAGCCTGAGAGACTTCACCGAGAAAGATGTGCAGGGAAAGAAACTGACCTGAGATGGTGCTTGAGTAAATACTGATTGCGTGTTTGATGAGCACACAGTAGGGTTGAATTGGGTTGCCTGCTTGGATTTAGCAAAGGAAATGTGTAGTAACCACTGGTGGCTGCTCTTTTTCAGATTGTGCTGGCTGCGGAAGAGATATCAAGAATGGGCAGGCACTGCTGGCGCTGGATAAGCAGTGGCACTTGGGGTGCTTTAAATGCAAGTGCTGTGGGAAGGTCCTCACCGGGGAGTACATCAGCAAGTAAGGCTGGGCGCGGGCACGTGTTCCTTTCAGTGGGCACCGAGTGTTGTGGTTTTTCTGCAGGTCCTGGTCTCAGGGGCCCCACACTGCCAAAGGTGCTAAAATTATTCACATCCTGCCGTCAGAATGAACTTGTTGCTATAAAACTTTTGAAAAGAGTTTTATTCTTCTGCTTTGGCTATAATTTGGCTACTGTAAACCTAATGAAATGTTAATCATTGCCTAATGTAGCCACAAATGAAGCTGACAGTGTTACACTGTATGTTGTAACCACTTAAGTATTTAATAATTTCCCTTTTGCTCTTCATTCTCCTATGAGGAACTAGTAAGCCTTTGTCCACCTTCCAGGGCTGGCGTACATTTATAGACGCCCCGCAAAAGCACACAAAGCCTAGGCCGTGGGCCCTTTAGGACTGTGCATAAGACAGCCTGCCAGGAAATTGGTTCATGTTCAATAGTAGTGGATAATAGCTACACTTAAGGAAGTGAGGTTTTTTTTTTTTTTTTTAGGTAGCCTGGCAATGAGGGGAAATTTTCCACTGTATACCTTTTTATGCCTTAAACAAAATTTCCTGCTGGGCACAGTGGCTCACACCTGTAATCTCAACACGGGAGGCCAAGGTGGGAGGATTGCTTGAGCTCAGGAGTTTGAGACCAGCCTGAGCAACATAGCGAGACCTCATCTCTAGTGATATAAATAAATCAATAAGCAAGCCAGGCATGGTGGCACATGCCTGTAGTCCCAGCTACTTGGGAGTCTGAAGTGGGAGAATCACTGGAGCATAGGAGATCGAGGCTGCAGTGAACTGTTATCGTACCACTGGACTCCAGCCAGGGCAACTGAGTGAGACCCTGTCTCAAAAAATAAATAAATTCATTCCTTTATTCATTCATTCACTCATTTCCCCAACCACATGAAATCACCTATTCAAAAATATTAATGAATGTAGTTTAAAAATATAGTAAAACAAACAAAAGGTAGCTTGTGTCCCATCCCCTAGAAATCTAATTCTCCAGGCCCAAGGTAAGGCTGAAATGCCTGCATTGAAAGGGGAAGAAGGCTGGGCACAGTGGCTCACGTCTGTAATCCCAGAACTTTGGGAGGCTGAGATGGGTGGATCAACTGAGGTTGAGAGTTCAAGACCAGCCTGGCCAATACGGTGAAACCCCTGTCTCTACTAAAAATGCAAAAATTAACCTGCTGTGATGGCGGGCACCTGTAATCCCAGCTACTTGGGAGACTAAGGCAGGAGAATCACTTGAATCCAGAGGCAGAGGTTTCAGGGAGCTGAGATCGCACCACTGCACTCCACCTCAGGCACGACAGAGCAAGACTCTGTCTCAGAAAAAGAAAGGACAAGAAGCTCTTTGGGTGACAGTGAGGGACAAAGTAAGAAGAAAGGTGCCTGGCTTCTAAGGAACATTGTAAGCTGGACGGGGCAGGTAACTGGGCAGTCTAGAGTGGCACTCTATAGCTCTTCCATGCAATCACACACAGGGCATATTAATTTTCCTGTGCTCCGAGGTGAATAGAGGAGATTGCCTCAGCTGGAGGGGAAGGCCCTGGGCCCTAGAGACGTCCTGAGAGCTGAAGAGATGGTGTCAGGAGGCTGTTTGGAGGCTGTAGACTGGCATGTGGGCCCCTTATGGCTGGATGAATGCTGAGCCCACATCTGACAGGCTCAGTGTTCTTTTTTTTTTTTTTTTGAGATGGAGTCTTGTGCTGTCACCTGGCTGGAGTGCAATGGTGCGATCTCAGCTCACTGCAACCTCCGCCTCCCAGATTCAAGTGATTCTTCTGCTGTAGCCTCCTGAGTAGCTGGGATTACAGGCACCCACTACCACACATAGCTAATTTTTGTATTTTTTTTTTTTAGGAGAAAGAGGGTTTCTTCATGTTGGCCAGGCTAGTCTTGAACTCCTGACCTTAGCTGATCTGCCCAATTCAGCCTAGCAAAGTGCTAGGACTACAGGCGTGACCTACCATGCCCAGCTTATGTGTCATATTAATAAACATATTTGTTAAATGCATTAATGATATTTTCTAGCTTTGCCTTTATTGTGGTTTTAATGAAATTGTCTCCAGTGTTTTGCCTTTAGGTGTGATATTGCCTATATTTGCCAGTATCTTCTTCAGGTTAATTAATACTAGTCTTTCTCTGGTTTATGAATTATTTTTTTGTGGGCTCAGTGGGCTCAGTGCTCCTCCATGCCCAGGGGGCCTGTGGAGCAAGAATGATGCCAGGCTTTCTGCTAGTTAGCTCTGAGACAGTAAACAATTGGCAAGGATGATCAAGGAACGGCAACATGGCCGTTCACAACATGGCGGTTACTCCTGTGTGGCCCCCAGAGCCACAGACTGCTCTCTGGATTGTTTCGTTTGTGGTTTTGATCATGTCTGACCGGGTCTGACTGGATTGCCAGGCATGTGAACATGGGGCCGGGGAGAATTATGTCCTGCCCTTCTGTGGAAAGGCCTTGGGGAAATGTGGTTTTGGTGCCTTCTCCAGCCCCCTGGAGCTAAACATGTTTTGCTTTGCAGGGACGGCGCCCCGTACTGTGAAAAGGACTACCAGGGACTCTTTGGGGTGAAATGTGAGGCATGTCACCAGTTTATCACAGGGAAAGTCCTGGAGGTAAGTGGCAGACCGGCTCCCTCACAGCCACCACCACCTTCCTCAGCAGCCCTCAGAAACACCCAACAGGGGCCCCTTTTCCACCTCCTCCATCTTTTTTTCACCTGTGGGGAAAGAAAGTAGTCGCAAGTGACTGTCTTAGAGAATTAAAGTGCTGTGCTCTCCTCAAAGGCTCATGGGAATTACAACAATGGAGAATTTGCAGAGGAAAAAAGAATGAGAAAGATTCTGGGGGGAATTAAGTAGGAAAGGCTATATGAGACCATTTTTATTTTTAGAGGTTAGGAAAGAGGAAGTGAGGAGGGAGTGAAGTCGTGTATGTGTGTGTGTTTACATCCATGTGCATGTGCATATGTGTATGTGTGTGTGTGCATATGTGTATGTGTGCATCTGCAGGAGTATGCAGATTCGGGGAGCAGAGGCTCAGAATGGCAGCTAAGAAAGGAAGGGTGGGGGAAAGGTAGAGATGTTGACTTCCCACCCTTCAAAAACCTGTGTGACCAGCATACCCCATGGCCAGGGCTGTGTGACCCAGCATACCCCATGTGTGACCCAGCATACCCCATGTGTGACCCAGCATACCCCATGTGTGACCCAGCATACCCCACGGCCAGGGCTGTGTGACCCAGCATACCCCATGTGTGACCCAGCGTACCCCATGGCCAGGGTTGAGCTGAAACCTGTCAAGTTCAGGTGTGACTGCCTCTAGCCAGGGAGCTTTCTTCCTTCTTTGTCCACGGTTGCCCCACAGGCTTCTGCCTCTGGGCTGAGCTGGTTTTTCTGGGGCAAGACATAGAATTCTAGGGTCAGAGTTCAGAAGGACTCGCTACCCTACTTCTCCCAGGTCTGTGGGGTGTCAGCCGGGTCCAAGGAAAAAGTAAGACTGCCTCATCCATGGTCCACCTGCCAGGGTAGAGAGCGGATCCCCAGTAGAGGTGGCTCAGAAAGCCGTACGACTAGGGGGATGGCAACAGGTTCTGCAGCTTGTCACCTTGCTTAGTCAGGCAGCAGGCTGCTGAATCCACGGAGTCATGTTCCAACTTTCCAGCAGGGCATGTTTCAGAGATACAGACACACATCCGAGCCTGCCCCGCCCCACCCCCCACCCCCGACCATGGTGTTTCTGGACCGTGCTGTCTCTTCCATGGGGTTTCCCAGCAAAGGTCCAGCATAGCCTCCTAAAGCCCACCGCAAGCCCTTTCCATGAAGCACAGAGGGGCTCCCGTTGGCTCTGTGCTGGGACCTGGGTGGCCGACTGCATTTGGGAGAGAAGGATGTGGCTGTGGTCAGATGCAGTTGCCTCTTACCCTGAGTGTTGGAAATGGATACTCGGTGCCACAAAGAAAAATCAGCACCGCGTCAGAGGATCTTTCGGCAATGCAGTTTTTACTCCCTGGACTGCAGGAAGGGTACTCTCACTAGCCATCTTGCCACAGAGTACAACAAAGAAAGGAAAGCAGACATTTATTCCTTACGAATTTGGGGTCGTCCTTACTGCTGTGTCTGATCTCCATTGGGTGGAGCCAGACCTCACAATCTAAACTAAAACTCGACTGGTTAATAACTTAAAACTTTTCTAAACAGGTAAAAGCAATGAAGAGCGGGGACATACCTGTGAGCAGGTCCAGCACCGATACCTTGGTTAAAGTACAAGAACATAGAATGTACTACGTGCCTGTAAGCATGGCATGTCTAACAGCTACATAGGATAGGACTTAACAAAGAGTTGTTAGCACACTTATGATATTCTTTAAACAAGAAAGGAAACTTTAAAGAGGAACTTTTGCACTTCCCACACTGGGAAGAGGGTTCTAGGAAGAGAACCCCTGCAGAGGCTCAGAGGTGAGGACAAGCACAGCAGACACAAGAAACGTCAGTTGGGCAGGAGCACGATGTGACAGATGATGCGGGAGAAGTGGGCAGGGTCCCAAGAGTCACATTCGGGAGTTCGGGTGTTGCCCTAAAAGGGCTGGGAAGCCATTGAACCACTTGTAGCCGGAGTGTCACGTGAGTCGATCAGACCGTTGTGTGAAGAATGTAGGCGAGTGCTCAGATCTATTACGCACATGTTCACAGCGGCACTGTTCACATCAGCCAAAAGGTAGGAACAATCCAGCGTCCATCAGCAGGTGAATGCATAACAACTCGTGGTGCATCCATCCAGCGGAGTATTATCCAGCCCGGAAGCAGTGCTGCCTACCACAGGATGGCCTTTAAAACACTCGAAGTAAAAGAAACCAGCCACGAAAGGCCACATATTGTATGATGCCATTTATATAAAATATCTAGAATGGGTACATCCATATAGATAGAAAGCAGATTGGTAGTTGCCAAAGGCCTGGGGGGAGGGGAAATAGGAAATTACTGCTTTACAGATACAGGATTTCCTTTGAAGAAGATATTTTGGAATTGGAGGAGGTGGTTGCACAGCATTGTGAATGAGTGTACTGAGTGTCACTGAATTGCTCACTTTAAAGTGCTTAGTTTTATAGTGTGTGCATTTCAGCTCAGAGGTTTTCTAAGCAGCTAGGAAGGGAGTTGGGGTGAAGACAGGGAGGCCAGCTAGGAGGCTGCTGCAGAACTCTGGGCACAGAACGGTGGTGCTACTGGCTGGAGTGGAACCTGGGAAATGGGCCTCCACCCTCGGCACACACAGGAAGGGTAGAAAGAGTTCTCTCATAGACTTTGCAATAAAGCTTTAATTAGTGACCCGAGGACACTTCAAACTAGTGTCTTGGCTCAGGGAGAAAGAAGCACATCCCTAGGAAGGATGTTGGAGAGAATGGACGGACGGGACCCACCTGAAGGGAGCTTGGAGTCTGAGCAGTTGGATCACCGCACTCAGAGTGCCATGCAGTCGGTGCCTCCCCACCGGGCCCCGAGTCCATCTGTCATCCCTCCCCAGAGAGTTCTTCTCACAGGTGCCCTGAATGGGACCTGACAGCATTTCCCTTGGGGTTCCTGAGTTTGATCTCCTGTAGAAGACTGAAGTAAACCTGTTGAGTTGGGAGCAACTGGCAAATTTCCTTCTCCTTTTTCTTTTTCTTCTTTCTTCTTCCTTCTTTTTCTTTCTTCATCTTCCTTCCTACCCTTTTTTTCTCCCTTCCTCCCTCTTTCTCATTCTTTTCTTTTTTCTTTTCTTTTCTTCTCTGTCTCTCTCCTTCTCTCCCTCCCTCCCTCCCTTCCTTTCTCGCTTTCTCACTTTTTCTTGGTTTTGCTCTGTTGGCCAGGCCAGAGTGCAGTGGTACAATCATAGCTCACTGCAACTTTGAACTCCTGGGCTCAAATGATCCTCCTTCCTGCCACAGCCTCCTGAGTGGCTGGGACTACAGGTGCATGCCACCACACCCATCTAATTTTTTTTTTATAAAGATGGGGGTCTCACTCTGTTGCCCAGGCTGGTCTCTAACTCCTGGCCTCAGGCAATCCTCCCGCCTCAGCCTCCCAAAGTGCTGAGATTACAGGCATGAGCAACCAAGCCTGGCCCTCATAAAAAAAAAATCAGTGGAACATTAGAATGATTTTCCAGCTGTCCAGCTGTACAAAAGAGGCAAAAACATACTGAACGTGGTCCCCACATTTGTGACAGTCATGTTTGCAGTCTTCTTAGTTCACACGTGGAGGTGTGCTCCCCCAAAACATGTTGGGGAGGGAAAAGCGCTGTGTGTGTGTGTGTGTGTGTGTGTGTGTGTGTGTGTGTGTGTATTGATTGCCTTCAGCTTTAGCTCAACAGCTGCAGGAAAGAAAATCTAAAATAAAGCTAGATCCAAGACCATGCCATTAGAAAGAAACATCTGCTTACTCTGTTTTCTCCTTCAAGGCCTGAGTCATTCGGCTTTCACTGTTGCTGCAGAGGCCTCTTCCCAAATTGGCTTCAGGTTTCTGTGGAGGCTTTCCATGAGGGGCTTTCAGAGTTGAGACGTCTGGGAGTAGTTTACATCATGTTCAGCCTCAGATTCAGAATCCACCCAGCAGATGTAGTTCTCAGATGGGTGTGTGAGCTAGAAAAATGTCCTGCAGGGTTATCACACTGACGTGTGACAGCCTGTGAGTCGGTTTGGCTTCGTTACCAGCACAAAGCTGGACGGTCTCCACACACTCCGCCCTCCGCCTCTCATGCTTGGGTCGTGGTGGTGATGGTGAATATTGTGCTGGTGGATGTGTTGTAAATAGTGTGAACCTTGGATTTTTGTTGTTTTTTAATATTTATTTTATCCACAGATGAATTTATTTTATCCCTTTACAAATGTATTAGTTTTCTGTGTCAGCTGTAATGGCAGTGGCTTAAAACAACAATGTATTCCTCTCAATACAAACAGAAATGTCTTCTCTCTCAGTTCTTGAGGTTAGACATCTGAAAACAAGGTGCGGGCAGGGACATGCTGGCTCTCAGGCTCTAGGGAAGAGTCTGTCCTTGCCTCTCCCAGCTCCTGATGGCTCTGGGTGTTCCTTGGCTATGGCAGCCTCCCGCCAATCTCTGGCTTTGCCTTCACATGGCTACCTTCTCTGTGTTGCCTCTTTTTCTCTCTGTGTCAGAGTTCCCTCTGCCTCTTTCCTGTAAGGGCACTTTTCATTGCATTCGGGGTCCACCTAGATAATCCGAGACCATCTCCCTATCTCAAGATCCTTAGCTCAATCACATCTACAAAGACCCTTCTCCCAAATAAGCTAGCACTCACAGGTTCCAGGGATTTGATATGGAGTCTCTTTTGGTGACAATCGGGTCACCATTCAGCCCGCTCCGGTAAACCTGGGAAATCATGCAAATATCATCCTAGTTAGGTCTGCAGACTTGGTGTGGTTTTAAAACACTCACTGATCCCTAAGAGGACCCTAAGGCCTCTCTAGGTGTGGTGTCACCAGAGATGCCACCGGACACCTGAGATACTTTTGAGAAAGAGAAAGGTCACTGGACAATGGTGGAAAAGAGATGCTCCAGGTCTGGCCGTGTCCCTAATTCCTGAGTGATTTGGGGCAGGTCGTTCAGCTTCTTGGGGCTG